CTTTCACCCACCTCTCAGACACTCCAGTGTCTTTTTCTTCAGTGGGAAATGTCTGACAAATCTCTGTCTCTCTGTCTCTCTCCGTGTGTCTCTGTCTGTGTGTGTGTGTGTGCGCGCGCGTGCTTGAGTGTCATCCTCGGGAATGGCAGTGACCTTCTTTGAGACACGGTCACTCGTTAGCCCGGAGCCCACCAGTTAGGCTGGCGTGGACCTCTGGGATGCCGTTTCCGCCAGCCTGCTGCCGAGATCTCAGGCATAGGCCACCCTGCCGGGCGTTTTCCTGCGGGTTCTGGGAATGGAGTTCGGTCCGGGGCTTCACTGACCACCCCACCATTCATACCCTCGCCAGCATACCCTGCCCAGTTTCTCCACCGCAACCATCCCCCAGGGTCTCACGAAGCACAGACTGCCTTGGTCCCGCTGTGTAGTTGAGGCCGGTCTTGAACTCCTGATCCTCCTGCTTCTACCTCTAAGTGCTGGGATCACAGGCGTGTGCCACCACACCTTTTGCCCATTTTTAATCCGATTACTTGTGCTCCTTATGGTTGAATTATGTCACTGAGATTTACAGGGAAGAGAAACTGAGGCCAGAGAGAGGATGTGACTCGGTTGAGAACAACAGGAAGCTGGAACCTGAATCTGTGTCCACCTCTGACCTAGTGCGTGGGGGCCCCTTGTCTGACCAGTGAAGCAGCCTCCTGCACCCCACCGCAGGTAGTGGCAGATCCTGCCCATGCCTTTAAAGGGGCAGAGCCCTCACAGCCAGAGGGTGGGCCGGAAAGGCTGGGAGATAGCAGTTCTGAGGAAGCAAACCCACCCTCTCTTCCTCTCCACATCACGAGGACCTGACTGACGTGGCCCAGGAAGAGGGGACAGCCCGGGCCCTGTGGTTGAGGATCCTATTTATACTGGCTGTTGCAAGTCTTTCCTGCTGGCGACAGGGACGTCACTGGGAGCTGACCTCATCAGAATCACTGACGCATCTCCCTCACGCCTTGCCTGGATGCTGGTGAGGCCCCACCCCCGGGCCTCGGGGCCACTCCCACTGCCCCTGGCTCCTCCACCCTCCCGCCCGACTCCTCTTACAATCTGTTATGGGCCAGAGCCTGCTCCTGGAGTGACAATGTACAATCCTAACCCACAGTACCTCAGAGGTGACTGTATTTGGAAATGAAGCACTTAAAAAGGTAAACCAAAAAGGGTCATTGGGTGGGCTCTGATTCAGTGTGACCAGATTAGGAAAGAAATTAGGGCTGGGATATGTCAGTAAAGGGCTTGATTTGCAAGCATGAGGACTTGAGTTCAAACCCCCAGAGTCTATGTGAAAAGCCAGATGTAGCCATGCAGGACTGCAGCCCCAGCACTGCAGAAGGAGCAGAAACGGAAATGCCTGGGGCATTCAACTGCTGGCCTGGCTCCAGATTCAGGTGAAAGATCCCATCTCAAGGGAGTGAAACAGTGCCATAGAGCAGGATGCGTGGTGTCCTCCTACGGTGTCCATGTGCACATGTACACTCCCATGTACACACACACACCACACACACTCACATCTACACTCCCATGTACACACACACACCACACACACTCACATCTACACTCCCATGTACACACACACACCACACACACTCACATCTACACTCCCATGTACACACACACACCACACACACTCACATCTACACTCCCATGTACACACACACACCACACACACTCACATCTACACTCCCATGTACACACACACATTCACACATACACATACACACACATCTACACTCCCATGTACACACACACACCACACACAACATACACATCTACACTCCCATGTATACACACACCACACGCCACACACACACACCACACGCCACACACACACATCCACCACATACACACACCCACCACATACACACACATCCACATCCACTACACACACACCATGCATACACACACATACACATACATATATACATACACACCTACACACACCCACACACACATCCACCACACACATATACATATCATGTGTACACATACATCCACATACACACTACACACACATATACACACACCATGTATACACACACATCCACATACAACACACACACTCACATCTACACTCCCATGTATACACACACACACACACACACACACACACACTGTGTGCCCTGTATGCAAGTGTGGAGAGTAAAGAGGAAGGCGCTTAACTCTGCTTAGCTGTGATCTCTGGGCCCCCTCAAGCACAGACACGAGTCGTATGTGAACCTACCCTCAATATACACAGGCATGCATGTGATGACTATGTAAGGGCACAGTGAGCATGTGGCCACCTGCAAGCCAGGGAGCAGTCACATGGGGTGACACATTCCAATAATCCAACACTAGAGAGGTCAATCTGAGGCCAATCCGGACTACACAGTGAGTCTGAGGCCAGCCTGGTCTACACAGGTGAGAGCTGGCCTAAATAAATAAACAGTTAAGAAGAGGTCCCTGAGAAAGAACCAGCACCAGTTACAGCCTAACTCAAAAGCCTTGCTCTCAATGGTAGGAGCACACTTTCTGCTGAGTCTGCATAGCCTGCGGGACAGAGCCCCCAGTCCATCCAAAGGCTTCTGCGTCAGAGGATTCAAGAGAGTATGCACGGAAAACAAAGCCGGACTGAGATGGGTCCTCTATAAAGAGCGTGCTTGGACATTCTTTTTTGTGATTCCCTGATGACACCATTGTTTTCACAAAGAATTTGCTTTGGGCTGGGGATTATATGTCATCTAGGGAAAGTTGCCCTCTACAGGAGGCCATGTGGAGGTTTCATGTACACACTACACCATTTTAAAAGTGACTTCCGTAGATTTTGGTACCTTTGGGAAGGAGGCCCTGCAATCAGTCACTGGAGGATACCAAGGGTCATTTGTACCCCATTATGACTGTTCCAGGAAATAAGTATGCACACACAGGCCTTGTACTTGGTGAAGGTGGCCCAGGAACCTGTGCACACAACATTCAGATTGGCCCCTGAGCTAAGAGTGGATCTTTGGACACCGGGTAAAATGCACTCCCTTCCTTCCTTTCCTTTTCTTCGGGAGTAGGATGCTTGGCACCAAGCGTCCAGGCCAGCACCTAGCCTTGGTAGACACTGGCAGCCCCTTTTACTTTATTAGATTGAATTTATTTATTGATTTGAGACAGAGCTCCTGGCTGGCCTGGAACTCGCAGTGAGTGAACCACTGTGTATTCCAGGCTGGCCTCTGGCTCACACTCCTGCCTCAGCCTCCTGAGAAGCTGGAATTACAAACGCCACACCCAGCTTTGGATGCCCTCTCAACTCAGCGGGGCAACCTCCCTTCTTTCTGCCTTTGCCTTAAACAGAGGAGACTGTGCAGGGCCCATGAGGGGAGGAAGGAGTGACAGAGGTGAAAGACGCCTCTTGCGGACACAATGGTTCAGTGGTGCTCTCTAGCCAGACTCGGGAGCTTCCCTCTGTCCCCTTGTCGCGGTGAGACGAGGCAGCTCCCTGCCAGGGCTTGGGTGTGAGGGGAAAGGGGTTGTTCCGGATGACATCAGGGGTGTGAAATGCAGAAGGAGCCAAGCCAGGGCCTAGGGAACAGAACCCTGGGGTGGGCAGAGGTGAGAAATTCGGCAGAAGGAAATGCAGACCTCAGGAGGCGGATCTAGACTGGACCAGACTGGGGGTGCTGCCAAGGGGAGCACTGCCCGGCACAGAGACTGAGTAGGTGGGGACGCAGCCGCCTCTGGATGGGGAGTGGGGTGAAGATGTTTGTTCAGTGGGTACATGAGGACCAGCAGCAGGTGGTGTGGCCAGGGCTGGACTCCAGCAGGGTGCCTGTAGCTGGAGAAGCTCAGGCCCCCGAGTCCTAAGGCCCGCGCCCAGCCTCCTCGGGCTACCTCTGGTCCCTGAGGTTACAGCCTAAGGATGCTGGTTCTAGCTTGGTAGACGAGCCGGGGCTTCCAAGCGTGGCCTGTGGGCCTGGGCCAGCCTGAGCCCCAGTTTACCACAGCTGCTGACGGACTGGACTGGAAGACGCTGTCTTCGGTGCCGGTGCCGTAAGTTGTCACGTTCAGCCAGCACTGAGAAGCAGAGGGCCCACCCATGATGGATCACTATCTTTCAGAGAAAGTGAAACCTGGTCTCCAACTGCCACCACAGCAGCCCCCCCACTCCAGCTTCCCCTCTGAACTCACAGCTTCCCCATCTCCTCCCCCCTCCCCGCATCCCGTCCCCCGAAAACCAGTACTTGGAATTCAAGTTTTGTCTTTTTTTTTTCCTTCAAAGGCTTTTTTGCCTTTTATGTTCCTGTTGGCAGTGTCCTTATGAGGTGAACCAAGAAATGCGTTTCTCCTCTTCATTTCACAGGTGAGGCTCAGAGTGGTTAAGTGACTTGCCTCAGGTCACACAGCATTTCAGAAGGTTTGAGACCTGGTCTCCCTAGAGGATCCCGTCTACTGAGAGGGGACCTGGAATTGGGAAGGCTGTAAGGGATAGCTAATGGGAAGAATGGAAAGGAGGAGTCGGGCTAGAGGATGCTGGCCTAGGATTAGAGCCACAATCTTGGGGCCCGAGCCTGGCTCTGTGCCCAGAGCCTGGTGGTTTCCGCTCACAGATGTCCCGACAGCCCAAGCGAGAGGGTGGGAAGGGCACTCAACGAGGAAGATGTCTGGCTGTCTTCAGCCCTAAACCTCGGTGTCCTGTGAGGTTGGTGTTCCTGGGCCAAGGATGGCCTGGGCTTGCAGACGTCTCTGGCTCGCAGCTCCTGCGGTGACCCCTGGGCTGGTTCCCTGCAGATGGCACGGCCCCCCGTGCTGCCCGCTCACCCCAAGAAGGCTGAGGCTGCGGTTTACATCATCCTTGGGCGTGGGGCTGACCTCGAAGAACGAATTCGAAGAAAACGGGAGGAGGAGCGGGCTTGTCATGGCGCCCGGCGCCCATTGGACGCCCGTGGAGACTTTGGTTTTTGGGGTCATGTTCCCAGAAGGCCTGCCCTCCCCCCTTCCCCTCCCCACCCACCTCACGAGGTGTTGGCCAATCGCCCCGTCGGGCATAAAGTGGCTGCCAGCCCGCAGGACACCCAGCCGAGCCCTGTCACCCCAGAGCGGCACGGGCCGCATCGCCAGCACCCAGCATGCGGGCACAGCTTCCACAGAGAACACTGCTCAGTAAGTACTTCCTTCCTTTCCGCCCTCCCGGGGCACAGCTGTGCCAGCTGGCTGCGGGGGGCAGCTCCTGAACGTCGGGCGCTGCAGAGCGGGCATCAGGTGAAGGATGCTGATGGGAGGGAGAACTAGGAGGTCAGGGGTCCTCCGAGACTCCAGCATACCCACAGTGGAGATGTGGCATTCCCGGAAGGCTTCCAGAGGGAGGCGAGAGAGACTGTGTTGGGGACCAGGGCATGAGGGGAGATGACAGAGCGGGAAGAAGCTGGAGAGGCCAGGGGCAGGTGGGAGATGGGCGGGAAAGGAAGTTGCAGGAGGTCTGTGAGGGAGTGGGGCAAGTCCTGGGACGGGGCCTCCTTGCCCTGGTTCAATTCCCAGGGTCTAGGGTAGATGGGAGCGCAGCCGAGCCCGAGGGCTTCAGATCATCACACGGCGCGCGCGAGCACACACACGGCGCTCACACACACACGCACACACGCACGCACACACGCACACACGCACAGCCACACCCCCATGGGGACAAGCAAATAAAGCCATCCACGTGGGCGAGGGTCTTCCCTCACACTGACACGGAAGGCTTACCTGCAGGCCGGAAGCCCGGTGAGCAGGGCAGGCACCTCAGCGCTTCCCACAGGCCTAGGGGCACTGGTCCACGTGCACCTGTCACTCGCTCCCCGTGGGCCCGCGCCGGCAGTGCGGCTACAGACACCCGGGGAAGCTGGGGAGGGGACTTGCGGTTGGCACGCCTGGGCTCCTGGCCCTCCCCAGCAGCTGGCCCTCCCCAGGGGGCTAGTCGGTTTGTAGGAAGGGAAGGATGGTGTCACAGCCTTCCGGGCCATTGCACCACAGGCCCCTTCCGACCACGTGGCTGCCGGTGCCTAAGGGTGGGGGCCAGCGAGCTGCAACCTTCTCGGGGACTCCCAGGATCCCTGACGTGCGCGTGCGTGCGTGGGGGCTCTTGACCGGCAGGCAGGAAGGTCAAGGAGAACTCTGGGCATGTGTGACCTGGGCAAGACTTTCTCGTGCACCTCGCTCACCTTTCGGGAGACCGGGCGTCAGCCCTGGCTGGCCGTGTGGGTGGCGAGGCACTGTCCCTGGCTCTGTGAACAGAACCTGGGGACCTCTCCATTCTGCCGACATGGAATGCTAAGGTCTGCACCGGAGTTAGGGAACTGACCGACCCTCGTGTGAGGCCAGACGTCTTGTAGCGGACTCATCCCGCCGTCCCGTGCCCCAAGGGTCAGGACAGCGATGCTGTGTGCAAACAGCCAGCTTCCCACTTGGCGGTTGCAGCCACCCCCTCACCCTGTTTGGTCTGTGTGGTGACTCACTGGGAAGGTGGCAGCCTCAGAGGGTGTTCCCGTCAGACCCAGTGCCCGTTGCAGGCCTGGCTCCTGCTCTGGGCTGCACAACCAGACAGAGGGCTGTGCACGGCACAGGTCAGGTAACCGCGCTCTTCCTTCTCTGCTCAGGTCTGGCCCTCAGTCTCCTGTTCCTGAGCGTGGCCCGGACCACACGCCGCTGCCCCAGCTCTTTCCCACAGCTCCTCAGCCAGCTGCAGAGTCAGGCGAACATCACGGGGGACACGGGATCACTCTTGGAGCCCTATGTAAGCCCCAGCCGGCCCTCAGGGCACCTGCGCCCCAGAGAATCGTGGGGACTAGTGATTGGGTGTGTTCATGGGGGACCAGTAAGGGGCAGGTGGGGAACCTGAGTTATTCTAGGGGTGGTGGAGCTGCCCGGCTCCCAGCTCCATTCCTTGGCCGCCCCCTGCTGTCTGTCTGGTTTGGCACCTTTGCTCTAGGCTCCCAGATGTGGCAGTGAGTGAGGCACTCCCGTCGTGTGCCCCCCCCCGTCCTTACTCTTCAGAGTTATCTCTTTCTTCTGCCTCGGCTTTTGTATCTCTTTGCTGGGAAGACCACACAAGATGTAGGGTTTCGAAGGCAGGTTTGTCTGTGTGTGTTTGGTTCTGGCATGCAATCCTCACTCTCTTCCTTCCTCAGATCCGCCTCCAAAACCTGAACACGCCTACCCTGAGAGCTGCCTGCGCAGAGTTCCCTGTGACCTTCCCGAGTGAGGACACCCTACGCGCACTGAGCAAGCCTCGCTTCCTGAGCACTGTCCAGGCCACACTGGGCAGAGTGTTGCAGCAGCTGAGTGCTTTAGCACAGAGATTTCCGAAGACTCGGGCTTTTCCAGAGCTGGAGAAGACCAGGGGGAACGTCCAAGGCATCAGGAACAACGTCTTCTGCATCGCCCAGCTGCTCAACCACTCCCTAGAGACACCTAAGCCCACACAGGCGAGCTCTGGGGCCTCGCTGTCCACGGCCACAACGCCAAGCATTTTCCAGACCAAGCTAGACAGCTGCCGCTTCCTGTGGGGCTACCACGGTTTCATGGGCTCAGTGGGGAAGGTCTTCCAGGAGTGGAGAGACGGCTCCAACCGCAGCCGGAGACACAGCCCTAGACGCGGCCTGCTCCCGGCCTGGCGCAAGGGAGCCAGCAGAATCAGACCCTCCAGGAGCAGCCAGAGCCCCATGTCCAGGGTCCAGGCGCCCCGGTAGCCTGAGGACACACTGACGGACACGGCATAGTCTGTGGATGCGGGATGTCGCCTCTCAGAGGCTTTCAGAGATGCTCCTGCGTTCAGAGCTGTGCAGAACGGCACTTTAGGGCGTGGCGGTGGGAGGCCCCTCCCACCACGCCCGGACCGCGGGGCTCATCAGCTTGTGGTGCCCCACTCCAAGCCTCCAGTCCCAGTGGGGCGGCCGGGTCAGGCCACGTGGGACTGGCTTTCCATTGATTCAGGGGTCTGATGACACAAGCTGACTCACAGCTGGGCTGAGCCCCCTGGGCTGCTGTTGGTCCTTTCCTCTCATGACTTGAAGCTGTTGCTCCCAGACTTCCTCCTTTCGCTGTGGCTGGGTTCTAAAGGGAAGGTCAGGTCCAGGGCTCTCTCCCATGCCTCATCCCACTCAGACCAGATACCTGGACATCTGGGAGGCCTCATGTTTGGCAGCTGCACCAGGGGCAGGTGTGCCAAAAGGAGCACTGATCTAGTAGTTCAAGGGAAGAGAGCTCAGGCCTTTCTTGTTCTCTAAGTGTGACTGTGGGCAGGACAGTTGACATATTTGAACGTCAGCGTTCTCTGTGGAAAGCTGTCTTGTGTGTGTGTGTGTGTGTGTGTGTGTGTGTGTGTGTGTGTGTTTGGGTCCTGTCAGCTGCGGGACTCTGTGACATGGGGTGAACATCAAAGTCTCTGTAAATGGGGACAAACGGTGCAATTGGTCATGGGGTGGGTTTATGGAGATCTCCCAATGCCCGTAAGCCCCATTCTGGCTGCTTGTTGCTCCCTCTGGTGGTGTGTTGTGGAATTTTCACATGCTGAACCCGTCCTCCTGGAAGAGGACTCGAAAGCTGATGAGCAATTACTTGGAGGGACATGACTAATTTATTGATTTTTTTATCAGTCTTTAATCCGTTTTATATTTATATGGCTTATTTATAATGTATATTTAATATTAATATTTTGCTAACATATTTAAAACTTGCCGAGTTTCTAAAGTTGGTGTCAGTCTTTTCTTATGGGAGAAGGTTTGGGGGTCTTCCTCAGGGGAGGTCTTTACGTGTCAAGGCCAAAGATGTCTGTGCTCTTGGATGGGTTAGAGGTCTGAGCATCATGTGGAAGTCACATGGCCACAGCTGTGTCACACACGAGGCATTTCCTTTTTCTTAGCCGTGTGTGTGTGTGTGTGTGTGTGTGTGTGTGTGTGTGTGTGTGTGTGTTAGGCTTTTCCTGGAGAGTTGCAACATGCACACATCTATTCCTCCCAGAACGAGACCCCATAACAGACTAAAGTTCAAGTCCACGTTGGTGAACTAGTCTTATTGGTGTTACATGCAGGAGTAGGGTGAGGGGCTTGACTCAAACGCACTGGTAGCAGCTGGAACGGGGTCTCCAAGCGGTATGCCGTCACCAGGATCCGCTGTCCCCTCTCTGATGTGTCAGTTCAGCGCCCTTCTCCAGCAGCACCCTCCTTATTTTCTGGGGAGGGGCCCTCCAGACTCTTTAAGCTTTTGTTCCCCCAGACCATGAATTCTCCTTTCCCTTCTGAGGCTCCCGAGCCTCCTGTTTCCTGGAAGTTGTTTCAGTTCTGAGGAAATTGCCACAGAACCCTGTCACTGAACCTGGAGGTTGTGTACCTCTCCCTCCCCAGCATGGGGGTTACAGACACATGCCACCTACCCCCCACCTTCAAAGATTTTGTTTTTATCTATGTATATCTGCGGGTCTGTGCGCATGAGTGCAATGCGAGGGTCTGTGCACAGTGCTGGTGGAGGCCAGAAGAGGGCGTCAGATCTCTTGGGACTAAAGTTATAGATGTGAGGGCATGTGAGTGCTGGGAATCAAACCCAGACCTTCTGCAAGAACAGCAACTGTTCTTTTTGTTTGTTTGTTTTTTGGTTTTTTTCTTTGAGACAGGTTTTCTCTGTATTGTTTTGGAGGCTGTCCTGGAACTCGCTCTGTAGACCAGGCTGGCCTCGAACTCACAGAGATCCACCTGTCTCTGCCTCCCGAGTGCTGGGATTAAAGGCGTGTGCCACCACTTCCCAGTGAAAATAGTTTTATATTAAGAATATTTGGGGGATTGAGGAGATGGCTCAGTGATTAAGATCACTGGCTGCTCTTCCAGAGGACTGGGGTTTAATTCCTAGCACCCACATGGCAGCTCACAACTGTCTATAGCTCCAGTTCCAGGGGATCTGACACCTTCACACAGACACACATGCAGGCCAAACACCAGCGTACCATGTACTCCTTCCTGCCAGCTGCCTGGTTCCCACCGCTGTCTCTGCCCCCAAATAACACACAAGACACTATATTAGTTATAAAGCTGTTGGCTGCTCGCTATGGTTTCTTAACAGCTAGCTCTGACTTAATTATTAACCCATAATTATTGACATATATTTTTATAAGGTCTTATCTTACCAAGAACGCCAGACTTGCGTCCTCTCCTCCTGGGATCACATGGCGGCTCTCCACTGTTGACTACATTTTTCAGAATCCTCCTCGACTCCTAGTCCCACTTACCTTGCTTGGCCAACAGTGCTTTATTTATCAACCAATCAGACAAACATATACACAGAAGGACTTCCCCATCACACCAGTGCACATGAAATAAAAGTAAATAATAAAAGTTTCTTAAAAAAGAATATTTGATAAGATTTTTATGAGCCTTTGACTATTATATAAATGAAATGAAGTTTTAAATTAAATTAATGCAGTTACTGAGAACCTGTTTGGGAATGCAATCTTTATCTTCCTACATAGATATAAACACATACACATATATAATCTAAAATTCATAGATAAATAAGATCTTATCTTATGACTAATAAATGTTCTTTGATTTAATTTGCATTTTAAGGTTTTATAAAACCCAAAGACATCATTTTAATAGATTTTAAGATGTTCAGAGTGGTCACGTTTATAAGGTAGTATGTGCTTACTAGGCCTTTAAATTATTATTATTATTATGTATATCATGTTTATTTTAAGTGTATGGGTGTTTTGCCTGCAAGTATGTCTGTACAACACCTGTGACCTGTGTGCCTGGTACCTGAGGAGGCCTGAAGAGGACATCAGATCCATTGAAACTAGGGTGACCAATGTTTTGAGTTGTCACATGGGTGCCAATGCTCTTAACCACTGAGCCTTCTCTCCAGCCCCTTTATCAGGCTTTTTATTTTATTTTTAGTTTTTTGAGATAGAGTTTCTCTATGTGACCCCGGCTGACCTGGAACTCACAGAGATACACCTATCTCTGCCTCTGCTGGGACTAACGGTGTGGGCCACCAGGCCTGGCATTATCAGGCTTCTTAATACAGTTGTAAATCCTCACATGTATATTTTAATTAGGAATGCAAAAAATAAAAACAGTAATTTTCGGGCTGGAGAGATGGCTCAGAGGTTAAGAGCACTGCCTGCTCCTCCAGAGGTCCTGAGTTCAATTCCCAGCAACCACATGGTGGCTCTCAACCATCTGTAATGAGATCTGGTGCCCTCTTCTGGCCTGTGGGCATACAAACATATGCTGTATACATAATAAATAAATAAATGTTTAAAAAAACAGTAATTTTCACACACAATAAAAACTAATTTAAAAAATGAAGTAGTCAGGGTTTGTTAAATTGTTTTTCCCACAAACAATACATGAAAACAGCATGGACACACATGACACAGTTGCATGGAATCTAGAGGCACTCATTTACAAAAGCAGAAAGTTTATATAAAGAAAGGGGCTGGAGATCCGGCTCACAGGTTAGGAGCACTGGCTGTTCTTCCAGAGGACCTGGGTTCAATTCCCAGCACCAGATGTAAGAAAGAGACAGTAGCTATATTGGTTAGTTTTTTTTTGTCGACTGGACACAAATTAGGGTATCTGGGAAGAAAGAACATCAATTGAGAAAACACGGCTATCAGATCGCCTGCAGTCAAGCCTGTCTTGAGGTTTTGTTTTTGTTTTGTTTTGTTTTGTTTTGATAAATCATTAATGTGGGAGGGCCCTGAAAGCAGGCTGAACGTGCCATGAGGAGCAAGCCAGTAAGCAGCACCCTCCATGAACTCAGCATCAGCTCCTGCCTGGAGCACCTGGCCTGACTTCCTTCAGGGATGGACTGTGATCCGAGGGTAAGCTGAAAAACCCCTTCCTCCTCAAGTTGCTTTTGGTCCTTGTGTTTTATCATAGCAACAGAAACCTAAACTAAGTAGCATAAAGATCAAAAGATGGCGTTTGTCATGCAGACATAGATATTATCACTTCCTCCTTTAACAGCTGAGCAGCCCAGAGGGAGATGCTTTACTGATGAAAATGTCTTCACAATGTTGTTTTAAGTCAAAGATATATTCTCAATGTTGTTTTAAGTCAAATATATATATATATGTATGTATATATATTACAGTGAGGGTAAATCATATTGCCCATGATTGTATTTGTATATAAAAGGAAAAAAAGAAATGAAAGTAGTGTAAATTTGAATTAAGCATCATCTACTGCCCCACTGTTCATCTGGACTTTGGTTCTCTTACCTAGGATCTGACCAACCTGTTTTCTTGTATTAGAGTGCACACCTTTAGTCCCAGCACTGGGGAGGTGTAGAGAGCTGCGAAGTGCTGCACCCTTAAGATGGTACTGGCTTCCGCCTCTGCTAGCCCGACGGCAAGTGCTCTCTGTGATAAACAACTCCTTATTTGGTCAAGGCTGGATATCAGGCTTGCTTCCTCGTATGTGGACCTATCTGCTGTCGCCACATGGCTTACCGGGGTTGGCTGCCCAAGGGCCTTTTTAAGCTGTGGGCGGGCACTCCCTGGGGTCAGAAGATTTGTTCAAAGTCCTGAATAAACTGCCTGTGAGAAGGATTCCTGAGTTGCGTCTTCCTTGCTGGTCGAGGTGGTTCCTTGCTGGTCGAGGTGGTCGTTGACAGTTGGTGGCCCGTACGGGGACGCTCGTACGAAGAAAGGAATTCAGAACTCACAGCAGTCAGGGGGTGCACCGGTAAGTCCCCAGGTAAGGCGGGGATCCGCGAAAAGAGCGGGATTATTGTTCTCACCCGTAGAGAAGGGGAGAACGGTCAGCAGAGCCGCGTCAAAGCGGACGGGAAAGCAAAGCAGCAGAGCCGCATCAAAGCGGACGGGATAAAAATGAAAGTAGAGCCGCGTCAAAGCGGACGGGACAAAAAGGAAAGTAGTAGAGCCGCGTCAAAGCGGACGGAGTAAAAGTGAAACAAAGGGTATTATTATTTTTTTCTTGGCCCTTTGGGTGGTATTCAATTTTATTTTTTGGGTTTTCTTTTCACTGTTTGTTATTAAAGCATGGGTAATTTCCACATCCTGCCCAATTTTTCTGGCACTCAACGAGTTGCTGCGATCAAAGAATCTTAGACTAAAAAAGGGACCACGACAAGAGCGGGGTAAAAAAAGGACTGGGACAAGAGCAGTTGGTTTACTCCTCTCTGTAGGTAAAGAGAGAGCAGGACAAATGGTTCGTGGAGCAGCGAACCAAAAGTAAAAACATTGTTAGCTTGGCTAGCAGGGAACCCAAAGTAAAAGCTAAAAAGAAACATTAGAAGCTTAAAAGAAACATTGTTAGTTTGTCTAGCAGCACACCGAAAGTAAAAACATTGTTAGTTTGGCTATGGGCGCTTTTCAGTTGCACCCAATTTTTTGGCTTTGAATGAGCTGCTTCGTTCTAAGAATCTAAGATTTTTGGAAGTTAGGGAGAGATCTTGATTTTACATGGGACTGAGGAGCAATATGGAAAATACACAGAAATTCTGGATACTGTATACTATTGTGTTTTTCAGTTTTTTGATTGCTCAGGAAGGAACAACTGCTAAAGTACACTTGATGATAAATGCTGCTGAATTATTTCAAACGCTCAGAGGTAGTGTTTGGCCTGTCTGGAGACTAGTAAAAAGTTCCCTTGAGGATCAGAAATGTAGTGAGGCAGTTAAAAATGGGAGAAATGCTTTAGAACAATTACAAGAGGAGGGATCAGAGCAGGCAAACTGTGAAAAGGGAGGAAAACAGAAAAGAAAGATGTACTCAGCTCTAGAAGACTCAGAGTCTACCGACTCCGAGGAGAATGAGGAGGAACTCCAAACTATTGTCATGATCCCCATTGTATGAACAATGCCCCCTTCCAGCAATGAAAAGGTAGATTTGCAAACATGCAGACAGGATATCCAGAACAGGTGTTTGAACAGGTGGATCAGATAGCCATTAAGGCTTGGAAAATCACTGCCAAATTAAGGAGAAGTGAGTGGCAATCTTGACACCTGGAGGCTGCGAGTGAAAAATGCAAGGATTATATGTGTTCCTGTTCAGTATGCCAATTTTACAAAAGCTACAAATTTGTCCAAGTATTTGTCCAGTTTTCTTTTACAGAATTGGTCACTTAAATTTGAAGATACTTTGAAGGAGTTGAGGCTGGCAGTGGTCCATGTGAATTCCACCAGAGTGGACCTTTCCTTTGCATCGGGATTATCGTTCTGGCTGACTTCTACAATGAACCATCTTAAGGAGTGGGCGGGTATAGGAGCATTAACAGGTCTCTTGGTGTTGGTCTCCCTGGTTTGCTTGTGGTTTCTATGTAAGATTAGAGTCACACAAAGAGGCAATGCAGCCATAATCATTCAGGCCTTTACCGCTATTGAAGCAGGACAGTCCCCCACAGGCATGGTTAGCCACCTTAAAAACTAATTAAATACGCTCAGGATGCGAGGCAGAGCACTGCACTCTGAGTCAGCTAATAGTGACCCAGAGAAGAGCATGTCTGATTGCATGCGGGTTGGTACCCAAGAGTCCCGCCTCTGGAAAAAAGGGTATTGGACGGGTCTGATGTTTGTTGGGTGGATGACGCCAAACAAAAATCAGTACAATGTCCCTGTCATTGTCAGAGATCAGACCTCTACTCTTGCCTGTTGCATTTTAAACAAAAAAGGGGGAACTGTAGAGAGCTGCGAAGTGCTGCACCCTTAAGATGGTACTGGCTTCCGCCTCTGCTAGCCCGACGGCAAGTGCTCTCTGTGATAAACAACTCCTTATTTGGTCAAGGCTGGATATCAGGCTTGCTTCCTCGTATGTGGACCTATCTGCTGTCGCCACATGGCTTACCGGGGTTGGCTGCCCAAGGGCCTTTTTAAGCTGTGGGCGGGCACTCCCTGGGGTCAGAAGATTTGTTCAAGGTCCTGAATAAACTGCCTGTGAGAAGGATTCCTGAGTTGCGTCTTCCTTGCTGGTCGAGGTGGTCGTGGCAGGGAGGCAGAGTCAGGCGGATCTCTGTGAGTTCAAGGCCAGCCTGCAGAGCTAGTTCCAGGACAGGTAGGGCTATTCCACAGAGAAACCCTGTCTCGAAAACCAACCAAACAAAAAAGTTAGAGAAGTCAACTTCTCGTTCATGACACGGACAGGGAAGAAGCCAGTGGATTCCTCCCTGCCCACACTGCTGGCTCTCCAAACCACCGGACAGGTAAGAAAGCAGAGGGCAGGGTTAAGACTCGGGGGAGTCGAACAACGGTGGTGCATGCCTTTAGAAAGTCAGAGGTTGGTGGATGGCTCTCGGTGAGTTCAAGGCCAGTCTGGTCTACAGAGTGAGTTCCAGGACAGCCTGGACTACACAGAGAAACCCTGTCTCAAAAATCCAAACCAAACTTAGATGCTTAAACTAGATACATTGAAAACAGAAAGGGATCTACCAAACAGGGTACCTAAGTAACCAGCTCAGAATAAAGAAATGGACATTGACCAAACCCAGGGAGGGTTGAGAGAACCTGGGAAAGAGCCCACTGCAATCTGTGGATGTGGGATGTCGTCTCTCAGAGGCTTCCAGAGCTGCTCCTGTGTTCAGAGCTGTGCAGAACAGCACTTTAAGGCGTGGTGTTGGGAGGCCCCTTCCACCACAGTTGGACTGCAGGGATAGTCAGCTTGTGGTGCCCCACTCCAAGCCTCCAGTCGGAGTGCAGCGGCTGAGTCAGGCCATGTGGAGCTGGCTTCCAGGGTCTGAATGCGTCCACCCAGGTGACTCCTCTGGTAAAAAGTAGATTATTTTCAGAGCCCCGTGTTTGGTGCCATGGCAATCAATTCAGACACACAGCTCTTACCTCAAACAGGTTGAGAGATAATTTATTCTGTAGCTGAATATGAGTTACCATATTTAGGGAACACTCCAAATTCCATGTTCCAATGTGGGAATTGTTCTATTAAGTTTTTTTAAAATAGCAAACAGGATAAAGAATGTCACAACTTGGGGCTGGAGAGATGGCTCAACACTTACAAGCGGGTACTGATCGTCCAGAGGACCCAAGTTCAATTCCCAGCACCCACAGCAGGTGCAATTCCGGTTCCAGGGGAATCTCACTCCTCTGGCCTCTGGAGGCACTGACCTAAACACATGCATATAATTTCAAATAATAACAATAAATCTTTAAAAAGTCGTAAATAAGACACTTTTCAAATACATTAGTAGAAACGTCAGATGGAGTTTCAACTTGAAGGTATAACTTTATTTTGGGATGGGGTGTGTGTGTGTACACGCGTGTGCGTACGTGCATGCGTGCGTGCGTGCTTGCTTACGGGTATATATGATGAGTGTGTATGATGGGTGTATTTAATGGGTATGTGCACTGATGGGGATCTATGATGAGGCTATGTGCTAATGACTATATATGATGGGCATGTGTGTTGACAAGTTGGTGTGCTAATATGTGCTGTGTATTTTCTGGCCTCATTTTAAAGCCGGAATGTTGAAACAGACACTTTATAAAAATGCAAGTACGTTTTGTGATCACAGATGTGGGAATAGGGCATGTTTCTAGGCTGGCTGACCATGTGTACAAGCCAGGTGCACCACCCTCATGGGTATAGAAACAGGGCACAGGTCTGCCTGCTGCTTGGACCACAGTAAGTGCTGTCAGTGATCCTGGAATGAGTCACGGTCACACCTCTGCCGGCCAACACCCTACTGGCTCTGTGGCAGGTTGAGAAGACACAGCACAGAGACAGGCAGATCTGGCCGTTCATGTTCCTTCCAGGTCCTTCTGTCTGTCCGTAAAACACTAAGAAGACTAAGGGTCTCAGAGCTTTCTAAATCTGTGTCATGCATAAGGCAGAACTTATGACTCGATATATGTTAACCTGCCTCCTGATGAGCCCTGCGTTACAGGTTTGTTTTTTGTTTGTTTTGTTTCGTTTTGTTTTTTGTTTTTTAAGACAGGGTTTCTCTGTGACTTTGGAGACTGTCCTGGAACTAGCTCTTGTAGACCAGGCTAGTCTTGAAGTCACAAAGATCCTCCTGCCTCTGCCTCCCAAGTGCTGGGATTAAAGGTGTGCGCCACTACCGCCTGGCACATTACAGTTTATATCTGAACCCCAGGAGATTGGGTCTCCCCAAACCACAGGACCTAAGAGAGGAACATGCCTATAGGCAAAGGCAGGGGAGGTACCAACAAAAGTCAAGAAATCGGCTTTTTTTCTTTTTGAGATTATAATTTAATTACAACATGTCTCCCTTCCCTTTCCTCCCTCCAAACCCTCACTGTCCTTCAAATCCATGGCTTCTTTTTTAGCTGCTATTGCATACATAAATGTATTTGTGTATATAAATATATTTCTAAATATAACCCATTCATATTGTTACTTGTATGCATGTTTTCAGGGCTCCCCTTTTGACACTAGACAGGCAGCTGCTGTGCTGTTCCTGGGGAAGCCACCCCCCTCACTCCAGCTCTCCGCAGTTGCCTATAGCTCTGTGTAAGCGTGAGGCCGCGGGGCTTTTCCTGTCCACTTTGGTTCATTGGCGTCATCCTTGTTCAGCTCACAATTGGACAGTCACGTGGGTAAGATTTTGAGCTTGGCTTTTAGTATACCTCAGGCATGTAGTAAATTTGTGTGTTCTTTTTTCTATAAAATGGGGCCCTGGGGATGTAGCTCGGTGGTGGAGCACTCTCCCAGCATGGATAAGGTCCCAGGCTTGACTCCAGGATAACTAGAAAGAAAAAAGAAAGAGATGAACATGACCCAGTCAGCCCCTGTCTCCTCTGCTTCCTGAAATAGGGACCAAGATGGGACTGATGGGGACCCAGCAGTGGATCTGAGGCTGCAGGGTGGATGCCTGAGATGCCTGCATCAGTTCTGCAGCAAGCAGCTGCGGGCTAGAACTCAGGCCCACTGGTCCCCGAGGCAGGCGCATCTTTCTCATCCTGTCTCTTGCCTCTGCAACTTGACTGGCAGTCACAAGAATCTCTAGAGACACTGAGCTCCGGGGCAAGGGGCAGACAGACAGCAGACAAGCAAAGGAACCAACAGGAGCATCCGAGGTTGCATGAACAGGCCAACGCAGTAGATGATGTAATATAGAGAGTGAGAATCAGGCGATGTGGGTGGTCAGGCTAGTGTCTGGAGAGGTGACGTCCTCACTGTGGTCTGAAAGACTTGCAGGTGTGATGGGAACAGCTAGGGCAAAGGCCCCCAGTATTTAAGGGTCAGAGGTGAGTGAGTAAAGGAATTGTGCTTCATCAAGGAGGCCAGAGAGGAAGAGCACATGCACCAGCTCACAGAGTGCTTGTGCAAAGACTAGAGCCAGAACTCTGGGCCCAGGACTCCCGTGTAGGAACCATCCGGCCTATTTGCCCAGAACTGAGTTGAGGAGATCCCCTACCCACACTGGCTGTTCCCAGGTCCCTCCTACTCTACAGTCTTTGCCTATGATAACCCCACTGTCTTGAATGCTGTTCCTTGTTCTTAGTTGTTATTGTTCATTTATTTTTTGCTAAACTCGCTTTCCTTCTTTTCAACTCTCAACTCAAGGCCGCAGGGTTTGAGCAATGATTCCCAGGTTAGGAGCACACAAAGTGTTCTCATGTAGGACCCAAGTTTGTTTCCCAACAACCATGCCAGGTGTCTTCAGGGCCTACAACTCCAGCTATAACGGGAATCCAATGGCTCTGACTCCCACAGACACCTGCACTCACGTACCCACACACATAATTAAAGATAAACTAACCCTCAAAAACTTAGCCCTTCTCTACTCAGGGCCACCAAGTGGGTTGTGTGTTTTCTCAAAAATTGGTCCATGTGGAAGCATTCTCTCTGTGATGTTACATCCCTGACTACTTCTCAACAGGCCTGCGGCTACAGAGGACAGAGCCACCATCTGCTCCCTTCATTTTGTCCCAGCCTAGCACACTGATACACACTAGGAGGAGGTGAGATAGGCCCCGCCCTCAGCCCAGAGAGGATGAAGACAGCTGATCCTGAGCCCACCGAAGAGAGCCCTCACTACCCATCCCAACATCCCCACAGCTGGAGCGCCAGGTCTGCCAGATCAGAGGATGGCTCTCTCTCACGGCTGCCCTGACCGCAGAGGAGAAGGGGGCTTTCCTTGGCCTGGGCTGCTGGGAAGCTGTGGGTGGGAGGTGGTACCCACAGAAAGACAGGCACCCCCAGCTTCCTGAAGCAGAAGGGAGCCGGGGCTGCGGCAGGCGCTGAGGTTGCCCACAGAGAGGGCAGAGGTTGGTCTGCAGAGACAGGGCAGAGAGGCCTGTGGCTGCCCCGCCCTGGCTGAGTTCTGCACCCTTCTCAGGAGGCCGTGTGAGCTGCCTTTGGCCATCCCAGGTAGTAGCTGAGGATGCTCCTGGATCTGTGGAGGACTCTTAGGTGCATCGCCTAAGTCGACAAGGACTTATCCTCCATTGTCATACAGCTGATATTTCCAAACCTCGTTCCTGCTCCTCGCCGGCTCCGAAGCCACCAAGGTGCTTTAAATCCATCATCTTCCCAGCCAGCTCCATCCGCTGCCCCCCCCCTGAATCCCAGCCCATCCCTTGGCTCTCCCTCTTTATTCAATGCTCCTGCCCCTTCCCTGATGGATTATGCCTCACGCCACTCCATGCTCAGCCTCTTTCCCCGTCCCCAGCCAGAGTCTAGCTCCCTCAACACAGTTCAGACATCTCAGTCTTACCATATCTTCTTCCACTCTCAAAATATCCACGGTACCTTCCTGCCTTCTAGCCTGAAGGTTCCATTCCAGACTTGTCGGGAGTTCCAGCACACCCCTACCCTGCAGCATGGCCTCCCCTCAGGCCCAGCACATCCCTGATTGGCAACTGTTGCCTCTGAACCCTCCCCCACTCCCTACCCCTTGAATTGTCCTGCTGCAGCTCATGTATCCCCATGTCCTTGGTCTCCCCAAGAGAAGGGCTGTGGGGCTTGCCTGTTGCTGGCAGCAGCTGGCAGATGCAGTATGCAGAGTCTGCACCTGTCCCAGGCACAAGCGTGACAATGCTCCAGACGTCCTGGGGTGGAAGCCTGAGACAGGGCTCTGAGCAGCTGCTTCTGAGTCCCAGCGTATGAGGACCAAGAGGTAGCTTATGTAAATAAACCGGTGTTTTCCACACAGCCCCGTGAAGGGACAGAGGGGTCAGTGCATGCCAGGGAGCTCTCCCTGCACTAGCTGAGGTCTCTATTTTTTTGGGGGGGGGGAGTGGCAGTCACAGACCCCATCATTGGTACCCATCAGGCACTGAGAAGCTGAGCCCAGAGAAATGGTTCAGCTGCTGAGAGCAGTTGCCGCTCTTGGACCCCAGAACTCAAACGGAACTTCACAGTTGCTTCTAACTCCTGTCCTAGGGGATCTGACACTCTCCTGTGACCTCTTTGGGAGCCAGGCAACATATATATCAAATTAAAATAGTGGTCGGAGAAGGGGTCCTTGAAGATACAGTTTATGTTCCAACAAGTCCGCAGTCTGGATCCTCGTCCTGTGCAGTCAAGCTGCGTGAGCACCTGGGGCTTCCGACCTCATCGCCCCATCTGGCTATTTTTGTTTTGGTGCTAGGGATAGAAATATGGGCCTTAGCCAGATGGTTGTGGTGCATGCCTTTAATCCCAGCACTTAAGATCTAGAGACAGGTGGATCTCTGTGAGTTCAAGGCCAGCCTGGTCTACAGAGTGCCAGAATAGGCTCCAAAGCAATTCAGAGAAACCCTGTCTCAAAAAACCAATATATATATATATATATATGTATATGAGTGTGTGTGTGTGTGTGTGTGTGTGTGTGTGTGTGCATGTAAGTACAGGTGCCTACGGAGGAGGAGTCGGATCCCTCTGGAGTTGGAATTCCAGGCACCTGACATCATTGGTTCTGGGAAGTGAACTTGGGTTATCTGACAAGTGTTCCTACTCTTTAACCACTGAGCCATCTCTTGGTTCCTCCGCCTTGTTTTAGCTTATTTATTTTACTTTGTGTGTACTGCTGTGTTCCCTGTGTGTGTGTCTGTGCACCTGACGCCCTTGACGCCTGGAAGACAATGTTGTATCCCCTGGAACTGGAGTCACGTGAGCCATCACATGGGTGCTGGAGACTGAACCCGGATCCTCTGCAAGAGCAACCAATGCTCTTATAACCACTGAGGCATCTCTCCACCCCATCTGACTTACCCTCCTTAGACATCCTCACCGAATCTGACACTTGCCACTTTGCCCGGGCTGCTTGGCCATCTTGCTTCAGAGGTGTCTGTCCCCAGTGCTGGGGTGGACGGCACCTGCTGCCATGCATGAGCTCAGGCTCAGGCACGCATGCCCGTGCATCCGGCACTTTACCCACAGAGTCCCCTACTAACCATTGTCTCGACATTAGTCTTTAAAACAATTTTGTGTGTAGGGTGTTTTACTGGCTAGGGAGCGTGTGCCTGGTGCCCGCAGCACTAGAAAAGGTGTGGATCCCCAGAGTCATCTCTCCAACCCTGCCCCTCGTCCTAGCTTTAATGTGATTATTTTCTTTTCAGTGAGAGATGGAGACCTTAGAGGCAGAAGTAAATGACTTCTGCTCTTATCTTACTAGACCTTCACAGGCCAAGCCTCAGTTTCCCCTCTGCACAGTGTGCTGTTAAAGCCCACTTCCCCACTGACAAGATTTCCTGGGCAAAGTGTAGGGCTAGCATTGCCTCAGGCAGGTTTGTAAGCTTCCCTCCCTCCCTCCCTCCCTCCTTCTCTCTCTTTCTTCTTCTTCCCTCCCTCCCTCCGTCCCTCCCTCCGTCCCTCCCTCCCTTCCTCCCTCCCTCCTTCTCTTTCTTCTTCTTCCCTCCCTCCCTTTTTGATACTCTTTTCTCTTCTCTTCTTTTCTTTTCTTTTCTCTTCTTTTCTTTTCTTTTCTTTTCTCTTCTCTTCTCTTCTTTTCTTTACTGTACAGCTCTTCTCTTAGTCTCTGTTCCCAACAATCTTCCGCGGTCCAGGCAGTTCACAGAACTCCTTGTGGCACTAAGAGAAAGGTCACAGTCCACAGTGGATCAAGAGGCCCTCAGCGCAGGCAGTGAAGCTCCTTGCTTCCTGGAGTGTCCCCAAGGGCTGGGCTTGCCCAGGGAGGGACGAAGGTCCTACAGCAGGTGGGGCCCTGAAGCCTGGGGCAGAGAGCAGATCAGAAGGGCCAGGTAGCTCCCCAGGTTCTGAGGTGGGTGCTGGGGCAAGGGCAGCCATGGGCCTGTGGCTCTTCTTAGGACAGAGGCAGGGAATGGCTGTTGTGCACACAGCCTGTGGCAGGTCTGAGTCAAAACACCTAAGGTCGACCCCAGCTGGTCATGAGGAGAGCTGCCCAGTCATTGCCTTATGCTGGCTTGGGTCACCCAGACAGGCTAGGCGCGGCCCAGTCAGCTGTGACTCAGGCCACAGTGGCCTTGCCACGCAGCCCAGGGGCATCAAGTACAGGGACGCCCCCCTCTCTGCACCCCACCCCGCGGCTTCTCCTTCCAGCAAGCTAGCTCCACAGTCCCACCCGTGTCGGGCTCTGCTGTGCTGTGGGCTCTCTGTCTTTCGGGTCCTCAGCTTGGGGGTGGGGTGGAAGTGGGGGAGGCCTCAGGCCACCAGCTCTGCACGGAAGTCAGGTGGGGGGCAGGGTGAGGACCAACGACAGGGAAACTTCAGCAGAGAGGGAAGCAGAGGGGCCCAGCCACGATGGTGTTGCCCTGAAGACTGGACAATCTGTGCAGACTGTGGAGGGCGGCGACAGGCACAGAGACCACGGTAGGCTTCCCTTGAGGGGGCAGGATTGAGGGGCACTGCTGCTCCCTGCACTTACCCCAAGGAGGGTAGATAGTACATCAGTTGCCCCCTTGTGCATGAGGGGGCGCCTGGCGGCCCACATGGCTCTCCTCTCCCACGGCCTGGGTCTCCCTGTCTGTAACGGATGCAGGAAGGCAGGTTGTAGGGCTGTCTTGGAGGATGCCCAGCAATGCTGCAGCTGTGAGAGTGCCCGTGGTTAAAGTTCATGGGAGGGGTTGAGCAGTGGGAGAGCACATGGCTTCAGATCTTGCAGTGAATGATCATGGTAGGGTCAGCTTGACTCCAATGTGGTCTTGGCTCCTGGGCTTCAAAGGGACGTTCAGGTTCCTTTCTTTTTTCAGAGCAATGAAGTTCTGAGTCTGCAGAGGCCCCTTTTGTCCTGTTCTTCCAGAATGGAGTGCAGTGGCGCCCATGGGCTCTGAGGGACTTGACTAGCCAAGGTCATCACTCCTCTGCCTTTGACCTTGGGCCAGATCAGAACTTGCTGATCTGTGAACCTGGACATCCTAGCTCCAGGACAGTGACAAAGTGACGGGAAACCTTGTCACCCAAAATTAAAAGAGGCACTCATCTTTAACTTGTGGTCAGTGTCTCTTCAAACCTGGCAGGGGCTGTCAAGAGGATGGGAAATGGTCCCCAGGATCCTGTCTACGTGGTGTCATGCCGGGACAGGACGGGGTGGTGGAGAGCCTATGACCACAGATGGCACAGCCGTGTGTCCCTGGGTTGAATTTGGCTCTTGCCTCTTGCCGTGTGGATTAGGGCAGTTCATTTTCCTTCTCTGGGCCACCCTGGCCCCCTGTAAAACAGAGAGCCTGATACCCACCTAGAAGAACTGTCAGGGCAAGGTGGGAACACATAGTAGGACCAAAAGGGGTGCTGCCCCCTCCTCCAGAACCTCCTAACCTCGGCTACACCCTATTGTGCACGGCATATGGTTCTGGCACCCCCTTGAGGCCAGTCTATTGGACTCCACTCTGGAGATGTTGGGGTAAATCCTCTCTGGGAGCCTTCGGAAGAGCCTTCTTCCCCTGTGGTGGCCTATGGCCTCTGTCCACCCCCACCCTGAGCCCCAGGCACCCACTCACTTCCTCAAATCCATCAATCCAGCCCCACCCACCGGCTTGCTCCGGCTGAGTTGGCACAACTGCTGTACCTGCCGCCCCTGGGCAGTGGGAGGCGCTGCTGTCCATGGCTTGAAGCTGCTAACAGTTTTCATGGCAAGGAGCCCTGAGCTCAGTTTTCCAGGATATTGGGAGGACCATCTACATCCCCAAGATCAATGACGGGATCTAGTCAGGAAGAATAGGGTCTCAAGAAGCAAGTCTTCTCTGGAGTCCTCACAAACAAACCAGTTTTGAAGCCCTGGGGTCCCATCACCTTGGAAGCCCGGGACAGGCACGAGGTTATATGCCACTAAGGATGGCCCACTGATTTGCTGTGTGGCTTTTGGAAAGTGTCATCTGCTCTCTGGGCCTCACCTTTGAAGTTGTACTAGATAAAGATGTCAATAATAAAAGCATATCTGTGGCTTTGCCAGCATATGATCACGATACTGTTACCAAGTTTGCACATGCTGGAAGTGAAGTTTGAGCGATGACATCTCCTGCCTCAGGTGGCAGGGCCTGTAAGTGACAGAGCTGGGACAGGATCTGAGGTCTGATAAATTCCAGGGCCCCTCTCCTCCAGCCAACAGCCACACCCTACCTGGAGAGACAAGCAAGAACGCTGTGTGGTGGGGTGGGTACTAAGACAAGGGTTAGAGGCGACCCTCTTCCATCTAAGAGGGCAGTCGGCGACCCTCTTCCATCTAAGAGGGCAGTCGGCTCTCAGCCTGAGGTCGTAGTTGGCACCGGGGAAATGCCACCGTGAAGGACTTCACGGAACCCTGTGATACAGGGCCAGGCACAGGTCCCACCTGGAAAGGGAGGGAACGGAAGCAGGGTCCAGGGGCGCGGTGGGGTGAGGCCTGCTGGGCAGGAGATCAGAGCGGATTGTGTCATGGAGCCTTGTGTCTGATAAGCGCTGGCCACCTGGCCTCGGCAGGGGGAGGTGCTTCCCTGGGGAGGCTGGTCCATAGCCCCTTTCAGACCCGGCTGCCCCAGCCACCCGTCTGCTCACACAGGATGGGGTGGGGTGGGGACGCAGAGTTTTGCACACTTTGTGACCCTGGACAATTCATTCAACTCCCCGGGCCTCAGTTTCCAGCTGTGTCAAAGGAGAAATGGGGGTAGGGCTGGAGGTCTTGAATGTCTTCTAGGCGTTCTGCCATGATTTTCTGGACCGGAAGGGAGCTCCCTGGGGTTGGTGGACAGTGCAAACCTTGGGATCTGGGAGTGGTGTCAAGATTTGCCAAGGCCCAAAGGTTTTTGGCTGGTGTGGGGCTGCAGTCCAACCTGTGCTTCCTGATAGGGTAACCAGTCCTGACTGTGTCCCACTGTCCCCGGCAGCTCACCTGTACCCCCCACAGCATCCACTCTTCTTTCCCAGAGAATAGGCAGCTCACCCTGAGGACTCTTCCTCCTAACCTTCCTGGGGATGGGACCTTCGTTCTCCTCATCCACCGCACACCATCCTGTCGTTCCCAACGTCCTTAAAAATATTTCTTCAAGTCTCCCTGGCACTGAGGGTGGAGACAGGGCTCAGGCCACCTACCAAGCATCACCTCCTGGATCAGTTAGGTGGCCCTAGTGAACTCTGCTGGAAGAGGGGACAGAGATGAGGCCAGGCCCGACCTCTGTGGCCAGCTCCCAGCTTCCTGTGTGTCTGTCCGCTGTTGTTTCCTGTTCTGTTTATTGCCTCCAAATTCAGGAAACCAATGAGTGGCGCCCCACACACACCCGTGATTATTTAACAGCAGCCTACCACGCTACGGTCTCTCTCTCTCTCTCTTTTGGAAAACCCAGTGGGAAAAGGAAGCTGTCAAGTCTGCTCTGACATCAGCGTTGTCCCTGTGCCAAAAGTCAGGGTGGCCAGGGTGGGAGGGGTAGGGCGGGGTGAGGAAAGCAGCTGCTGGTGGCCCCTGTGACACGAGGCTGCCCCATGGCTCCCGGGGGCAGAGGCTAGACTGTGAAAGACAGGAGTAGACACAGGGGCACATACACACACAGGTACAGGGTCATGTCTGTCTGCCACTGAGGCCCACTATTCCTTACAGACACACACACACACACACACACACACACACACACACCAGAAGACTTGCAAAATTCATTTCTGTCTTAGCGCCCCTCCCCCACACACAGGCAAACAGCGTAATTGAATGCACACACATGCATAATAGGGCCAGACACAGATAAACACAGACTCACGCTCTCACTGCACATGCACACAGCTCGCTGAGGCTTAGACACAGACTCCACCAAGCTTCTGCCTCACGGGGAGTCTGCAGGGCGCCCTCTTCTGGATTCAGCTGGGTCTCGTGGCCTAGGCCACCCTGAAGAAGCCCAGCACTTCCTCCTCCTATAGTGTGTGTGAAGGACTCCCCATGCCCATGAGGAGAGGCGTGGTAGTTGTGACTGTCCCCAGCCTCACCCAGGTAAGGCCAGAGCAGGGCAAAGAGCCCTGAGGGTCTGAGGCTGAGGAAGGAAGTGGTTTTGGAGAAGCCAGGTTCCACAAGGGACTTCGTCCCTGTTCAGCCTGACGCCAGGCCTCCACCCCACCCCCACCCCCACCCCCGCACCGTGCCCCTGGCCTGCCCATACCTGGACCCAAGATGCACCTCTGACCCGTTCCTGAGCTGGCTTTAGTGGCAGTCACAGTAGAAGTCAGTCACATTCAGAAGTGCTGCCAACTGCTGAATGACCTTGGGCAAGCCACACAGACCTTCTAGGCCAGGCTTGCATTACTGATGCCCATAGTAAGAATGTGGGCATACACAGGCAACGGGAAAGAATGTTTCAGGGAGCAAGCTCATCCTTGTTCTGGCGATGTCTAGGGACTTCGTCACTCCATTTCTCTTTGAAAGTGCTACTGGCACCTTGTAACTCGAACCTGTGACCCGCAGGGCGGTAGAGGCCAGTGTGAAATCATTGCTCTGCACCTCTGCCTGAGACAGTCCTGGATATGCAGGGAGAGGAGAGCCATAATCTAAGTGCTTACACGACATGGACACAATATCCAGGACCAGGGTGACAATAGCCTAGTCCACCCACCATGCCACAACCTGGCCTCTGGCCCTGCTGATTGATGCTCAGCTCTGTGGGCTGCCACTTCCTTTGTAATTTCTATCAGAAGTGAAGAGGGGGAAAAAACGCAGTCACTCTGATTCACCTCCAGGGGCTTGATTCCTGACGCCAGGATCAAGGAAATGTCGGGACTGCTGGCTGTTGGCCAGGCTGCTTCTGGCTCTTCTTTGGCCCTGAGCGGGCGTCCCTGGTGTCGCCAGGCATGTGATGGGGTGAGGGAGAGAAGGGGCAGATTCCATGGCAGCACTGGACCTCTCCAGGACTGTGAGACAGGCGGGCTGCCGGCTCCCAAGGACCATGCCCACCCCCAAGAGGACCCCAAGCCACCTCCACTCTAACCATCCGGACTATGCTGAATCTCCGGGTGGGGTCCAAGTTCCTTATTCCCCCTTAGCCAGAGTTAACAGAGCATCTATTCTGACTCATCCTTGTTTTCTGAGGGGAAACTGAGGCTTGGAGAGGCGTCATTGCCTTAGGGTCACACAGCTGGTGTGTGGTTTGTGTTGGATTCAGACCTCACCGTCTTCCTGGCTAAACAGCCCATACCACCCTCCACCTGGCAATACAGTTCACTTGTTCCAAAAGTAACTTATCAACTTAAGGATGTCAGCTCCATGGTTCATCAGAGTGAGGCCTGCAGGTCCGGTCCAATGACACCTTTTCTCAAGGAGGAAAACGGAGAGGCCTCTGCCTTTGTGGCACCCACTGTCAAGTCCATGCCAGGCACATTCCTGAGTTTCTCCGGTTTCCTTTCACCACCTGTGGTCAGCTCTGGCCTTGAGAAGCACCCTGCAGCTTCCTCTTAGAGCTTGCTCACCTTCTAGGTGAGGTCACCAAGCTCGGCTAAGGCTTTCTTTCTTTTTTTTTTTTGAAGAACTGAACTCCTCCAGGGGAGGGTGCAGGGAGAATGGGGCTGGCCTGGCTGTGGGGGCAGCTCAGCATCTGGGTCACCAGGCTTGGGGAATTCCCAGTGCCCAGAGAGCCGCTTACTTACCTGCTGAGTAACCACTGCCCACACAGGATGCCTGGCTGACAGGCCACCTCCCCAGAACTCTGCAAGCAGCCACTGCTGTGCAGTCCTGTCTCCTGAGTCTGAGTGCCCCAGGGCCCAGGAAAGAGACAGAACAGCAGGCAGGCAAGGGGCTAGCCCCCACCCCCGCGTCCTTCCCCCAGGGGCTCTGCAGGGGGGCAGCTGGTGATTCAAATTCCTCTGAGCTGAGCTTCTCAGATGGGGTCTGGGGGTGAATCAGCTCCTGGGGGTGGGAAGGTCCAGCCAGCCAGTAACTGTCTTCAGCTCAAGTCTTGACTGTGGTAGCTCTGTGTGTGTGTGTGTGTGTGTGTGTGTGTGTGTGTGTGTGTGTGTGTGTGTGTGAGAGAGAGAGAGAGAGAGATAGGTAAGTATATGGGGGTATGATAAGTTGTGTGTGTGTGTGACAGGTATGTATATGAGGGTATGGTAGGTTGTGTGCATGTGTATGTGTGTGTGACAGATATGTATATGAGGGTATAGGTTGTGTGTATGTGTGTGTGACAGGTATGTATATGGGGGGTATGATAAGTTGTGTGTGTGTGTTAGGTGTGTATATGGGGGTATGATAGGTTGTGTGTATGTGTGTGTGACAGGTATGTATATGAGGGTATGATAGGTTGTGTGTATGTGTGTATGTGTGTGTGACAGGTATGTATATGGGGGTACGATGGTTGTGTGCATGTGTATGTAGGTCTTTGTTACAGATTATGTATGTGGAGGGGTGCGACATGTGGAAGGCACAGTACTGGTCCCCTCCATCCTGTCTGATGATTCTGAGGCATCCCTGAAGCTGGAAGCTCTGGGATGAGGAATACCCTCTCTCCTGTCCATTGTTGCCTTTGCTCTGGAGTGTGTCGCTTCTTCATCTCTAAACAGGACAAAGACTCTGTTTCACAGAGGAGACTTTAGGGTCTCTGCTGACACACAGGAGGCTTGCGGGGTGTCAGGAACCCTGCTGGACCCCAGGCCCTCACAGCGAACTTATTATGTTCGTGTGTCATCATCCTCACTTAGAGTTGAAGAAACTGAGGGTCAGAAGTGTCCGCTTCCCAAAAGTCACACACCCTGCACGGCCCTGAGCCCGATCTCCGGCCTGCATCTCAGTGAAAGTCCGCACATTCTTCAAACCACCAGAGCTCTTACCTTTGCCCAGACTGCTTTCCAGGTGTAAAATGCATAATAACATAAAAACAAAAATAACTAGCATCCGCTTTGAGTGTTCCCTCCTGCCCAGGGCTGTCTGGTCCAGATCCCCTCCCAAGCCCTCAGAACAGGGCAATGTGTTTCTACTTGAAGCAAGAAGGGGCAGGAGAGCACCAAGGCCTGAAGAACAGGTCAGGGCTGTAGGGGCTGGGAGGCTGAGCTGCAAGGGCCCTGGGGATGGGGCTTCCTGCTGAAGTCCTTATTCCCTCGTGGAGGGATCACTGTGGGCTGTAAGCACGTGCACCCTTATGTATGTGTTTTTACTGGCTAACTCTTAGCTTCCACAAGTAAAAACAAGCAGCTCCGAGGTTCTAGAAGAGAGTTGTGAATCTTGAGTGAAAGTCAATGGAAAAACCAAGGCTGACTGGCCATATATATCAAAGTGAATGGGAGCAGTCTGAGGGGCTAGGCCCAGGCTAGTCTATAAACTCACTTCCTGGAGAGAGGACACAGCCACCTGCAGACATGGCAGCCCCCTACCCTGCTGAGGGAGTCCCTGAGTGGAAACTGCCTGTCCCCCTCGTCCTGAAGCCTGTCAAACCCCAGCAGGCCCAGTGTGCAGGAGCTGGGCAAGCTGCCGATGACATCACATCTGCAAGGGGCTGGGCTGGGGCTGCCACTCCAGGGTGGGGCCCAGGGTCACAACCCTGGGAACCAGCAGCCAAGAAGGGAGGGTGCCTTCTGCGAGGGAGCAGAGGGGAAACACAGCAGCTTAGAGAGGGAGGGGCGAAGGCGAACTCCAGCTGAAGCCAGCCACGTTGCAGGCAGCTTGGAGACAGAGGCTCAGTTCTGCTTGGAGACCTCTCCTGGCATCTCCCCAGAGGCCCATCACAGGTGGTGCTCAGACATGGGCTGGAGCAGGAAGCAGGTCTGGGACACCGAGGGGCCCAGAGCGCTGGGGGAGAGCGGACTAAGTCAGGTACTGTGAGAGGGGAAACTGAGGCATAAAAGAGCGTCGACTAGGGCCCTGAAATGAAAAGGCCCTCGTGTCAGTGTCTTCTAGAACCTATTCCCGCTTCCTGTTTCCTGTTGGGTGGAGCTAAGATTAAGTGGCTACTGAGGGGGGCCTGTAGTACCAATGTGTGTTTTAGGGATCCAGAGGTCAGTGCGAGGCCTGGCGTCCACTGCAAGGAGGCAGAGGGGAGTAAGGCACAGGAACGGAGCAGTTAGGGACGCGGCCTCTGTCAGCACTGGGGCACTCAGGGAGGGGGCTTAGCCTTGGGGGACAGGAGATGGACAGAAAGGACCATGGCGGGTCTCTGGGCTGACAAGACTTGGGAGCCATGTTAAGGAAGCTAGGCTGAGTGAGAGCAGATGTCTGGAAGACGTGCTGGTGGAGTTGGAACTGACTTCGAGTCAAGTACTCTGAGGCGCTCTGGAGATGCAGGGCTGGGATGTCTCCAGTGTGTAGCTGCCAGCTAACTTATGTGTGCAGGAACGGTACGCCCCAGGTGGGGCCGCCAGGAAGGGACACGGTGGTATGTTGGGACGCAGGGAGTAAGAAGGGTGCCTGGCCTCTGGACACCCCCACCCCCACCCCCGGGGAAGTACCCGATGGGAGGGGCGGTTTTATCACTCTGCTATCCACGGCTCTGCCAAAAGACCACAAGGAACAAGACTCAGGATGGGGCAGGGTGGGGACAGCAGCAGCAGGCACAAGGGTTCATCCTGGCAGGATGCGAGAACATCCGAACAGATCCTGGATGTGCCTGGAGCTAAGGGCTAAGGAGATGATCAAAGGTGCTTCCGCAGCCAGACACAGCTTTGGAAAACCAACAGTCCCATTTGGATCCGGAGTTAGGGCAGACACAAGGATAGGGTCCCCAGGTCTGGAAGGACCCAGTGGCTCTGGGGACAGTGTGGGCCTATGTAGGTGAATCGGGTCAGTACTCTCTTACCTCAGGCTTCTCCATACTGCCTTCTGTTTAGTAAGGAGACCTGGTCTCATTTTACTCCATCCTCTTCCTCACTGTCCCGGACACAGCCATGATCTATCAGCAAGCATCCACACCAGGTGTTTGGACCCTGCCTCAGACAGCTGGAGCGTCTGTTCGAAGTCATCCACACCCTGAGGCCAAGCACCAAGGGGCTTCCAAGAAATGTCTGGGGGGGGCATCAGTCATCCCTCAACGCCCTAAGGAGACTGGGGTTCCATTTTGCCCAGCCTCCCTTCAGAATAGAGAGGCTGAGACACCTTCCTGAAGTACCTCCCTAGACCGTTCCCTAAGAGACACAATTTCATGTCTTCCCATCAGCAGCAGAGGCATGCTGATGGATTTAAGGGGGTCAGAACATCTGACCCACTGGCACCATACCCCTGAAGTCTCTCTTTTCTCGCAGGCAATGGGCAGGCTAGAGAAAGGCCACCCCTGAAGCAGCTTCCAGCGTCCACGCTCGGCTCCACTTTATGACTGTCTAAAGTCCAAAAGAGCCACAGCCCCCCTTCCTGGAAACTGCTTCTCAGTGGAACCCCAGCCTTACGCCTGCTGCCCCGCAAAGCTCCCCCCACCAGGCGCCACAAAGGCAGCCTCCGATCTGTTGTCACCCCCACACCCAGATGAACCTGGGGTGTCTGAAGGGCACAAGGCTGGGGACCCCATCTGAGTTCCCCTGAGATCCCCTTCCCACCAGACCCAACTGCCAGCAACGCCCTGAGCAAGCCACTCAGGAAAACCACAGGGCGTTTTTTTGTTAAGACTTCATTATAATTTTATCAATCAAATTCTTAGAAGAAGGAAAAAGTCTGCCCTGCCCACCCTCCCCCCTCTCGTCCCCCCTTCCCCCTTCACTCTCACTTTCTTCCATTCATAATTTCCTATGATGCACCTCAAACAACTTCCTGGACTGGGGATCCCGGCTAAATATAGCTGTTTCTCTGTCTTACAACACAGGCTCCAGTATATAAATCAGGCAAATTCCCCATTTGAGCATGAACTTCTGAAAACGGCCTGCATCTAAGGTCTCCTCCAAAGCCCTCTGGAGTCCAGCCCATAATGAAGGTCTTGGCCGCAGGTAAATCCACGCGCCCGGCGCCGATTGCGAATCCCTGCTGTGGGCGCGCCGGCAGCCTGGGGCGCTGGGCAAGCACCCGCGGGACACCCGCCTGCCGCGCCACTCGGACACTTGGGGCGCCCGCGCAGTCCCGGGCCAGCCAGAGGCGCTGGGTGGCGGCCGGGAGCGAGCACCGCACATGGTCCGGGAACCGCGCGCCCAGCCGGCCGGGTCCAGCAAGTTGGAGGCGAGAGACCCGATCGGTGCAGCCTTGCTCCACCGCCTCCACTCCTCGCCCCACTGCTCTCCCGCGCTGCTCTTGCTTCTCCGCTGTCGCCCGGATTCACCCTCCCTCTTTCTTTTTTTCTTTCTTTCTTTCTGCTTTCTCTTTTCCAACTGCGATCCGGGCTGCTCCCTGGGAGGGGCGCAGGCGGCTGAGCAGCTTGCAAACTCCGGCCAGGACCGGCGCAGGTGCCGCTTCCGTCGGCTAGTCCCTGGAAAGCTGTGATTGGCGCGAGGTGAGATGCGGGTATGGGTACCCCCGCAGCTATCTCGGGGCTTCAACACTGTCTGGGATGCTGGGATCCGCGGGGATAACCAGGGGAGTGAATTTAATGGTCTACGGTCTTTTTAGTCCCAGCATGGGGAGTTCAGGTGGGAGGTCTCCGACCTCCAAGAGTTGATTTCAGCCCCTGTCACCTTCAGGTGTCTTCAGCCGGGTGTTGGAAAGTTTGGGCTGGGGTGAGGGGGCCCGTGTAGCTGAAACTGAAGAAGGGGCAGGCGCCCCGGGGGAGGGGTGATCCTGGACAGGCCCGGACAGCTCCCGGCTCCCCTGACACCTTTCGCTTTCCTCTTGCGTGTCTGCCTGCGACCTTTTCTCTGGTCTCTTTCCTGGTTGCACCATTTCCTCTCACCTCAAAGTGTGTGGAGTTGGGGCGCTGTAACAAGTTGGGGTGAAAGATGATTTGGGTGGAGAATGGAGACCTGAAGAACAAACAGGTGGCAAGTCCTCCTAGGGGACCTAATTGAAGAAGGATAGGGATGGGATTAGAGGCAATTGGCCTAGGGAGCCAGAATCAAGCTGCAGGTTTGAGAAGACAGGGTCAACAGAAACCATGGCCCCAGCCTCCATGGTCCCCAAGGGGTCCAGTTTGGAGTTCTAGGCTGCAATGGGCCAATGAACTTCAAGTAAGCTAAGAATCTGGCCCATCCTAGGAGAGGGTAGACAGACTTCATATCTTTTCCCCTCTGCTGGACCTAATGCCTTCCAGCTAGGGTACCAAGCTTTGAGGCTTTGACTTCCTGAGGGACAGGGCTACATGGTTGAGTGGCCCCTGAACCCATTTTCTAGCTAGTACAAATGGCCCTTGGCCTGATATCTTGCTTCTCCACTCAATCCAATGGCACAGATGGGGAACTGAGGCCAGGAAGCAGGGAAAGAGAAAGCAGAGAGAACTGGGAGGAGACACCTGAAGCCAGGGAATCAGGGCAGTGGATGTGCGTGGGGGGGCGTGGGTAGGTAGGCGGGCTCCTCGCCCAGCCCCTTGCAGGGAAGCCAGACTTACTGCTTCTCCATTCATCCTTCTCATCTCTTCCCAGGTGTTGTGCCCTTATTGCTGGTTCTGCACTGGAAACACGGGGCAGGGAGTCCCCTTCCCATCACCCCTGTTAATGCCACCTGTGCCACACGCCACCCATGCCATGGCAACCTCATGAGCCAGATCAAGAACCAACTGGCACAGCTGAATGGCAGCGCCGGCCCCCTCTTCATTTCCTATGTGAGTTGTCTCCGAGAGTCCCGAGGAGGGTGGGACGCTGGAGGGGAGCCCTTAGGAGCTGGAGACACGGTGGGGAGGGACTTGGCTCAAGCAAGCCCATGCATCCATGGCTTCCTCCTCACAGCCTAGCCTAGCCTGGAGACTGGCCGGCACTCCTCCAAGGTCACCACTGAGTGGGGGGCAGAGCTGGGATGAGAGGTGGGAACTTTTCATGCAGCTTTCGGTCTTGTCACACAGCTCAGGGTGGGCAAAGAAGAAGGACAAGGCAGTCAGTGGAGGGGGTGCCGCTGAAATGCTAGGCTGCTCAGGAAGGCGCCGTGGTGATTGAAAGTACAAGTGTGTGTGGCGTTCTGGCTGAGGTGACACCTGTGAAATGCCACATTTCCTCTCTATCCATTTATGTCACGGTGACCTTGACGAGTGAGTTCACTCTTTTGATCACTGCTGACTCATGATTAGAGTTGCCTACAGGGCAGTAAGTTGAGTCCTCATGTCACAGAAGGGGAAACTAAGGTGCAAGAGCTTGTCCCAAGGGTTGGTGGCAAGCTGGAACACTCGCCCGACCCCATGTCATCTCTCCTCTGTTCCTTTACTCTTTAGTACACAGCTCAAGGGGAGCCGTTCCCCAACAACGTGGACAAGCTGTGTGGGCCCAACATGACAGATTTCCCACCTTTCCATCCCAACGGGACAGAGAAGACCAAGTTGGTGGAGCTGTATCGGATAGTCGCATACCTGAGTGCTTCCCTGGGCAACGTCACCCGGGATCAGAGGATCCTGAACCCCAATGCTCTGAGCCTCCATAGCAAGCTCAATGCTACTGTAGACATCATGCGCGGCCTCCTCAGCAACGTGCTTTGCCGGCTCTGCAACAAGTACCACGTGGGCCACGTGGATGTGACCTATGGCCCCGACACCTCCAGCAAAGATGTCTTCCAAAAGAAAAAGTTGGGCTGCCAGCTCCTGGGGACATACAAGCAAGTCATTAGTGTGGTGGCCCAGGCCTTCTAGACAGGAGGTCTCGAGTATGCCATGGACTGAGGGTTTTCAGGAGCAGGATCCAGATGTGGGGAGGGGGGCTCAAAGTGTGTTGGGGTTCAGGGCATTGTTAAATGCAAAGGGGGCTGCTGGCAGACCCCAGGGATTTCCAGACACCCACTGCACTCTGTGCTGGGCCGTGATGGAGTCCAGCACAGCTGAAACTTCAGGGCTTTCACATAGCCCAGCACTAGCTAGAAATGGCAATGAAGGTGCTGGACTGGGGAGGGTAAGTTGGGTGAGATTTCTGTCCCGCTGACTCTGTCAGCCCCTTGTTCACTAGGTATGTGAACAAGATACACGAAGGTCAGGGGGGTCTGCTGGCCCCTGCGGAATGACCACCTCCTTTGAGAGACTTTGGGAGCCTTAGTTGGAATGTGGGCAGGCCAGAGGATCCAGAAGGGCTTCTTGTCATTTTGAAGTTTTGTGGGTGAAGACAGAGAGGGTACACTGTGACAGAATGTGTCTTCAGGCTTAGGGATTGTCATGTCAGGTGGGAGATTCCGAAGGTCACTAGTGTTCAGGCTCTTGGGGAAGAAGAGAGGCCATCTTCAGGTCTGGAAAGGAAGTCCCTGGAAGAGGATGAGCCCTTCAAAGCCTGATGGGCTCTTTCTTTTCCCTGCTGTTTCCCCTACACCCTGGCACGGTCGGGGTCTCCTGCCTGGACCTGGAGGTGGGTGTGCACAGGTGGGAAGAAGCAGGTTGCAAATGCAGGGGGGGGTTGGTTCAGCGGGTTCCCAGAGTCCTCCCAGGGAAGGATCTGTCCCTCTAGGAGCCAGGGAGGGAGTAAGGCAGTCATGCTGGGGTAGTAGCAGACTGCAGGTTTCACCTGCTTTCGTTGACCCTGGAGAGCAGATACTCCTGAACCCACAGACAGGTAGCCTAGAGTCTGAGGCCCTGGAGGTCACACAATGGTACTTGAGGGGACCAGAGGCTGTCTTGGGTCCCTAGAGCATGGAGAAGCAGAACTTGAGGTCAGGGTCTCGGGGAAGCTAGAGATCCCAGAGCGGTGAATCAGGGCTGCTGTCTATTTATTACTATATCCTATTTATGTTAACTTATTGGTGCTTTAAATGGCAACGTTAATTCCCCGAAATAGCATGAGGCCCCTCACATGGGAGTCAGGGTCAAGCCTCACCTAGTGGGGTCTGGTCTGGGAGCTGATGGTATTACAGGTAGGGTAAGTCTCACGGGTGAAGCCTAGAGAAGGGTTAAGATTAGAGAGCTGGCTAGCTCCCCTGCCTCCCATCGTGACTCACTTTGAGGGTGTCAGTGTCCCCCAGAAGGAGTTAGGCCAGTTTGTGGAGTGGCTGATTCCTCTTTGGTCTCCAGGGGGTGGAGCGTTTGTGGCTGTTGTTGTTTTGTCCCACGGTGCTCTCTGGCGCCCCCTGGATTCCTGCTGTGCGGTGCACCATTCATAACGAAATGGAACCTTGGGCAAAGCAGATTCCTTGTTTCTCAAAGAGCAGCTGAAAAGCACGGAGATCTCCTGACCGGGTATCCAGCATGCTTCCACTCAGCGTGGAAGCTCCTCGGGTGGCCTGAACACCCACAGAATGCAGGAAGTTGGGGCAGTGCAGGCTCTGAACTGGGCCTGAACGGCTGCCCAGTGCTCCGAAGAAGGGGAGAGCAAGGCCTGAGAGCCAGGCCTGGGACGCGGACCAGGAAGCCGTGCTCCTTGCTTCAACGCTGCCTTCCCACTCCCGCCCATGTCTGGGCTCCCAGGCAGGGAATCCGATCTGATCTCTCCTTTGTGCTGGGGCCAGGCAAGCAGAGGAACGCCCTCGATCTGGGAGCAGGGTAGGGGGAAGGCAGCCAAGCCGGGGCAGTGACTGACTACAGTGCCTAGCTGCCTCTCAACCTCTGAGCAGGGCGGTCCTTGGCAGTTTCGCTGCGGGGCTCTGCTTCATGCATTTTTGCACCTTTCTTTGTCGATCTCTAAGCACTTTACCTGGATGGCAGGAGGGTAGCCCCTGAAGCTCTGGGTAGCACAGGCCCGGAACCATGGGTGCCGCAAGGAGACTCACATGTGGCAGCGACACTGTGGCCCAGCTCTCCTGCTGCTGCATCAGGCCCAGCTCAGGACTGGCTGCCCTTCTCCAAGCTGAGAGGCAACTTGTCTAAACGCCAAGATGATCCCGCAGCTGGGGCCTGCTGGGTCTTGCCATCCCTTCACGCCCCATGGGCATGGATTCCCTGGGCTCAGCCCACCTGGCAGCTTTGAAGGCTCAGGGACCAATGGACTCTTCCTCTGTGTGCACAGTCCCTGGCTCCACATTGCAGCCACCACCTGCCTACATCTGACTCCAGCAGTTTAGAGCCGTTTCGCATAGCATCCCAGAGTCATGGAGCCTTTGGGCGAAAGAACACGCAGGCAGCTGTGCATCTTGATATCTTACCCCTGCTAGTGTTGACTCCCATCCGGCATGATAGGTAGTGTGCCTGGGCCAGAGGAGGAGGGATGGGGCATTTTGCAATTTATCAAGAGAGAAGCATAGGGTCCTTTATTTATTATTTAAAACTTCTAACCTGAAAGCACTGAGAGTTCACTGGTCTCCTCCCTGTCCTTGACCCTTACTCAAGCTATCCATCTCTGCTTTGCTGGCTCTCTGGAGCAGATGCGGCATGTGGGCCAGGACCCCAGAGTCTTGCTCGGGAATGGCTTAAGATGTGCAATGGTATGGCTGTCTGCTTTTGAATGGCCCCCAGTCCTAGCCCAGGCTCTCCTCTGCTGGTTCAGCCTGTGGGACCTCAGCTGTTTCCCTTTTCCTTTTCATTGGAAAGGACTTGGCCTTGGGTGACAAATTCCTCTTTGATGAATGTACCCTGTGGGAATGTTTCATACTGACAGATTATTTTTATTTATTCAATGTCATATTTAAAATATTTATTTTTTATACTGAAGGAGTATCTTTTTTAAAAAGAAAAAATGAATTAATAAAGTGCCCGCTCTTGTCAAGTCTTCTGAGGTGTGTTGTTGAGGGGGACGGCTTGTTGGGACTTGTCTGGACAAAGGACAGAAGGGTGGGAAGATGAGGTCTCCTGTATTGGGCCAGGATCCCAGCATCAGCAGGGATGGGGGTGGGGTGGGATTTTAGCCCAGGAATAAGAAGGTGAGTGGTGTCCAGAATATGAGATGCTACCAAGAAAGAGGACAGATTACTTCCATGGGTGTTTCTGTGTCATTTCACCACGACCTAAACACTCACAACAGCCTAGCTGGTCTGTTTCCATTTAGCTGAGGAGGAAACTGAAGCCCAGAGAGATGGAACTACATGCCCAGAGTAATTTGAAATGTTGAGGTCACCCTCCCATTGAGAGGTGCAGCTAGTCCCCAGACCAGTGGGTGTGAGCCTGTTTGGCTTCAAGCCTCATGTTCTTCCCTTTGCTTGGAGTTTCAGGGACTTGGAGATGCCAGCTGTTTGGGGCTTTGTCACCCAGGAAGGGCCCATAATGACATATGGGTATGGGCTCAAAAGACCTGCGGGAAGGAGCCAGCTCCTACAGAATCGCATGAGACACTGGGCTCTAGCTAGGCTTTTTGGGGTACAAGTGGCTCCTCAGGAGCCCTGCTGTCACCCCATTCCCTCCCACTGGAAGATGTCTTCTCATCAGCGACCTTTCTTATATTCCTTGGGGGAACAATAGGGTTCAAACTGGGTAGCCACATACAGATGTGTCTGGTGGGGCCCCTAAATACCTCTGGCCTTTGGTCTGGTGTTTGACCGGGGCTTCCCTGGGAGGTTCATTTTGGAGGGTACACAAATGTGTGTGATGGTTGTCCCCTGGAAGCTCAGGCTGGAAGAGGCAAGGGCTGACCCTTCTGGGAAGATGCCTTCTTAGAAAATCTTAGGAGTCAGGGTCAGGGGACCCCAGAGCCATCAGAGATCTTCAGCCAGCGACCCATTTTCTCCTCTGTGCCAGGATAGGACCCACTGCCTCCCACTTCCCCAGAACTGCTTGGCCTGCACGTCACTGGGAGCTGATTAGAAACATGGAATCTCATCTCCCCCCAGCAAGGACAGACTGCAGCATCAGAAACCAGCCAGACCCCAGGGCGTCCGTGGGGAAAGGAAGGCCACCCTAACCTGCTCTCCTGAGCTCCCTGTGCCAGCTGGAGCACAGAGGCCCAGGCCTGTCCATCAGCTACAGAGAAGCCTCTGGATGGTGCCCTGGCGGGAGCTGCAGCTGTTTCCTCTGCGCACAGATGTGCACTGCCCCACCCGAGCAGCCGCTTGTCCATCCTTAACCCTTGTCTGTGGTCAGGGAAAGCACAGGTAGGAGCTGCAAGGGTGTGGACCCAAGGTGGCCTCTGGGGCTGGTTTTCTCACCCAGGCCTTTGGTTCCTGGATTGAACTGACCACCTGCGTGTCGTGTCGTCCCCCCCCCCAGAGGGCCTTGGCCTGATAGAACAATGGAGTATTAATTGGCTATTGGGTCATTCTCGAGAGGACAGTGACAAACAACTGTGAGGTAGGAGGAGGCAGGTGTGGCAGGCCTACTGGTCTGGGAGAGGCTGACTGGGGCTCTCGCTCTCATTGACCATCTAGCTCCACATCTGTGAAGCTGCAGAGCAGGCAGCCGGGAGAACTGTCCTCTCTACCTAGCTGCAGCACCAGAGGGAGTCATGTGAATTCCATATCTCTCCAAGTCTAGCCGTCCTGCCATGGATGGAGGGGCACAAAGCTGGGTGAATGTCACACCCCAGCTGTCTGCTTTGCAGTGAGAGTCTCACAGCTCCCTGAGGGGCATAGAAGGGACAGTTTTGCCAGCTCGGAGTCCAAAGCCAGGGCCAGGCTGCTGCGGACAAATTGGAGACAGTGGATGAGCCTCCCAACAATTGCTTCCCTGATGGCAACTGAGATTCACATCCATAGGACCCAGGTCACAAAGGCCTCTCGCTCTCAGGTACATAGTAGAGCTGTGGGACCAGGGACTGTGCCTATGGGAACCCCACCAGGAATTCAAGAGCACAAGGCCCGGATCTTCTTCGAGGATGGCTGTTGACAGGTATTTCACAGGCTCATGGGCTCTGCAGTTTACAAAGAGCTCATCTTTTGGTCTTCTGTTTCTGGTCATCATCTGCACCTGGTCATAGCAAACGGAGTCAGAACTGATAAGGGCCTCTTTGTACCAGACTCTTTACCTAAGGGGCTCAAGTGCTAACGTAGAAGAAAAAAGAGAATTTCCCGAGTTAAAACCCCAGTTTTGAAGATAACGCAGCAGGAGAATTCATTTATTGCACCAAACCGCCCTGTTTTCTGCAACAAATATGAATGGCATAATGGAGTCACAGGGTGTTTATATCCGGATTATAGTCCTCATTGTTCTTAATAACAGCTACCAGCAGTTCACAATAGAAAGCACATTAAGAAAACAAAACTGATAACATAGAGAATCAGATGACAGAAAAGATACAAACTGAATGAGAGGAGTAGGACCAAGGTAGGGCCAGGGGTGGGGGTGGGGGTCCAGAGTGCAAGGAGCCACACAATGACTGCGGCTGGACTTCAAAGGTCCCTGGCAGCAAAAGGAAAAAGGGAACGTTATTCTGTTACGTGAGTCTCACAGCTAGAAAGAGGAGACCTGAGCTAAGCAGAACCTGGGGCTGGGACTAGACTCTGAAGCGAACTTTCCCTAGAAACCCTGGACTGTGGAAGTGGGCCCTACTTTCAGCAATGCCTGTACCCCTGGGAGGGTGGTTTCTACCGAAATCTGTGCAAATGCTGAGGCCCAGTGCGACCTGATGGGGACTCTACAAGGGCACAGGATGACAGGATGACAGGCAGGTAGCAGGAACGTTGTCCTCTAAGGGGGAGGCTTCCATCTGCCCTCAGGGGACCAAGGAGCCAGGCAGAGTCTCATTGTGAGCCCCTGGCTAGCCTCAAACTCAGGACCCTCCTGCTTCAGCCTCCTGAGAACACAGGCAGACACCATCATGCCCCACTTCTCTCTCTGTCTCTCTCTCTCTCTCTCTCCTTCTCTCTCTCTCTCTCTGTCATTTTTCAAACAGTGTTTTTTTCTGTGTAACAGTGCTGGTTGTCCTGGAATTTACTCTATAGACCAGGCTGGTCTTGAACTCACAGAGATCCGCCTGCCTCTGCCTCCCGAGTACTGGGATTAAAAGTGTGTGCCACCACAGCCCAGTATCAGCCCTTTTTGTTTATCTCTATGTGTGAGTTGTGTGGTGTGTGTGTGTGTGCATGCGTTTGCGTGCGTTCCAAGGCAGAGCGCCACAGTAAAGGCTTCCTCCATTGCTCCTCTCCATCTTAATTTTTGAGGTAGGGTCTCTCACTGAAAGCTCACAGTTGGGCTGTACTGGGCCAGCCAGCAAGTCCTGAAATCCTCCTGCCTCTGCCTTCCCAGCATTGTTGCTGGGCCCCAGCTTTCCATGGCTTCTGGGGATCCCAACCCTGGTCCTCATTCTTGCACAGCAATCACTTTGCCTTCTCTCTAGATCTTCAAAACCCTCTCTTTACGGCTCTATAGCAAGTCCATGGAACAGGCAGCAGGGGCCTCGTCCAGAAGATTCTGAGGGGCAGAGGTCGGCTAGAGGCAAGGGTGTTCTGAGGGAGGTCAAGGAGGCAACAGCAAGGAAGACTGGGAAGGGCTTGTGGCCTTGAGTGTCTGCCCTCACCTTATTCCAAGGCTGTTGGGTCCTCTGGGACCCTGATGGAAATGTTCTGGCCGCTGACTTGGGCATCCTGGCAGCTTCTGGGGCTTCCTTCTGCAGTCACAGAGGACTAGTTTGAATCTGTCCCTTTGACTTGGGGAAGTCTGGCCTTACTCCAAGCGCCAAATATTTCAATTATGAGGACGTGGTCCAGCCCTGCCCACTCCATCCAGTCTCGGGGACCGGGGGCAGGGATATGTGAAGAGAGAGGGAGAGCCGCAGACGGACCACAGATGGGGACCAAGCCGGGTTCAGCAGGCAGAGCAGACAGGCTCTCTCTACTGTACTGACACTGAGCGAAACCACTGGCTGAGGGGAAAATATGCAAGAGGCATTTTTGTCATTCTTAGCAGCCTGGCCAGCTCCTGCCCAGACGGTCAATGAATCAAAGCCCAGAAGGGCTTTACCTGTCAGCGGCTCTCTCAGCCCCCCTTCCCAGGCCCCAGGCCTCTGAGCCTAGCAGGCCAGCTGGAACCCTCCCAGGTCCCCCAGAAAGGGTGATCTTCTATCTTCATGGGGAAAACGTGTCACAGGCAGGGGCCAGGTGCGGATAGCCCACCAGGGTCAGAATCCTGAGTCCCCTTTTGTCTGCTCCGCCCATCCTGGTCCCCTTAGGACTGCCGTTGAATTCTTGCCCTATCCTGCCCAAAGTTAGGCCTGGTGCTAATGCCCCAGTGCCTGTGACCCCAACTTTGGGGAAGAAATCTTTGCAGATCTCATGCAGGCATGAGATATCAGCCTGAATTCTAAGGACAAACGTCTTCATAAGAGACATGTAAAGGCAAGGCAGGGGAGACGGCCGTGGGAGGCAGACTTGGCCATCTGTGGCAAGCCAAGGGCTACATGGGGCCACTGGAGGCTAGGAGGAGCCAGCAAGGGCCTTCCCTGGAGACCTCGCAGTTGTCCCTGACAACACCTTACTTTCAGACTGACAGTTCTCAGAGAGTAGGGGAAGAGAGTTTGGGTGACTGAAGCCACCTAGTTTATGGTAGTCTGTAAGGACAGCCCTGAGACACTGTTATGCTTCAGACGAGTGTTCTCCAAAGGCCCGGTTGCCAGGAAGTGGTGGCATCTTAGAAGAAGTGGGGTCAGGCGGTGGTGACACTCACCTTTAATCCCAGCACTAGGAAGGCAGAGGCAGGCGGATCTCTGTGAGTTCGAGACCAGCCTCCAAAACAATACAGAGAAACCCTGTCTCGAAAAACAAAACAACACCAACAGCGCCAACAACAGAGATTCATCTTCTTTTATGCGTCTGAGCGCTTTCCTCACACTCGTGCTGTGAT